CTCAGCCAGGGTCAACCCACCACAGTCATCCTATGAAAACCTCAATTATTTGGATAAAACTACTGTGATCATTTGGTCAAAAATCAATTCTCAATAAAAAACTTTTGCAAAACTTTTTGCAATACACTTCATAATCAAAACTAGAGCCTTTAAAAAAACCAAGATCAAAGTACACAGTTTGGCTTAGCATAGATACCCTACAGCCCTCATTACGCTTTAAATCTTTGAAGTAATCCAAAAGGATTTGATTCTGTGGCCAGAAGGGTTAACTATGATTAGCCCAAAAGGAAGGAGGATTCAGAATTCTCTTTACAGCAAAACAATTTGAAGCAATCAGGACAAAGATCTGATTTTTCTTGAAATTAAGAACTGATTGTCCACTGAATAAGGATAAGGTGGTTTACTTGCTTTGTTTCTTCAACAATTTCAGTACCCTGTTCAGGAAAACGTTGGGAAAGAACTAGTTTAAGTAACACATAATAATACAATAATCTCATATGTTCAACTTCACAAAGTCCTAATTTTTCTACTCACGGCAGTTTGAACACATATTGTTTCTGAACTAGATTCAAGAGCAGTCTACCAAGGCAAATTCAATTGCATACTCAGTCAATACAATACTTACACATATAAGAAAGTAAAAGGTTAGAACTAAAGAGCAGAAATTACAAGCATTTAAGAAAAGAACATTACTATGAAAGAATGTGTTGGATAAGCAGAGGAACACAAGAATATTAGTGAGCTCTTAGCCAGATGGATGAAGTACTGCAACAACATCAGACTGCAAGAAAGAATTGAGCAGATCAGTTGTAGAACAACTGCTTCTGCGGGATGATGATAGCAACAAGTATTATCAATCAAAGCTGAGCTTGAAAAACAGAAAGACTGCTGAAATTGTAAAAGGCTTTTATGGAACACCGATGGAGAAAATTGTCTTAGGGAGATTGAAGTGTAGTAACACAGAGACTCAAGAACAATGCCCGAAAGGAAGCAGAAATTAGAACCTGAATAAAGGAAACAATACTTGTATTATCCTTTCATGAATGAGAGGAACATTATAGCTATTGATACACTCTGTCAGAGAAAAAATGCAGTTACTTCAACATTAAAGAGTATTTCACAATTTGAAGTTCTCTTCCAAAAATTTCATTTAATAGCCAATACTCAAATTAGGTGCCCAGACAGAAACAGAGGCAGAATTGTTCTCAGTGAAATATCAACCGCTGTTCCTGAATGTAAATATGCAATATAAATCTAACAAATCAACAGATCATAAGATAAGAGTATACACCATATTTGTAATATATCACATTTTTATACTTCAAAATGTAGAACCGTGCTTCAATGAAAGCAATTGAAGCATTTGTTCTTTATTTAGGCTCTTACATAAAGGAGTCAAATTTAAGAGAATGTATTTTCTTACCTCTATGTTGTTATTCATTAAGCCAGAGGCATCGGCAAAGTCTGGATGTTTGGTATTGATATAAGCTAACTCAATGGCCACTAGATTATGAACCTGCAACGCAATGCCATTCGCAGTTCAAAAATTCAGTGAGTAAATATAATGCTAGTCAAGAGCAATGACCTACAATGCTAGAAAGCACAGTCTAAATATCCATAGCAAAAGACCGTTCTTAATGCCCCAAAGACATTAAAGTTCTGATCCAGAAGGCAAGAAGGGAATTCATTCATTCATTGCAATACATTCAGACCTTCAGCTGTTTTGGTGGTATTTGAGTTTAGCTTGATGAAACTAACAAGCTAATTCCCTCTCCAGCAAGAAACAAATAAAACTCAGCAATTTAACGAGTGTAAGCTATATAGTAATGAAATTAGCTACATAGTCAACTTTCAGCCACAAGCCACATACAATATTTGAACCAGTGAGACATGGCTTACTATGGGGGATAGGGAGCACACAGAATCATTTTTGGCTTTTCACATCAAACTTACAGAGAGTCAATAACTGAAACACTTTGTTTCTTCCCCAATAAGCAGCCCAAAGCAGACTTTTAGATTTATTCAAAGTTAGAAGTTGAATTTTTAGTTCTTACTAGCTAAAGGGCATTAGAAACAAAATGAACATTTTGTGTTGATTTTCTCTGAAACACACAGAAGAAGGTCTACAATTTTCATCATTGCATCCTGAACTCTACAGTAAATATACAGCTTCTGTTACAAGGGAGGGAAATACACCTGTATCAAAAAGCCTAGGAGATGTTAAATCTAAGTGTTAGTAAAATTCTTTTGGGGAAATTGAAACATGGGGATAACAAGCTGAAGAAGGTTCCCTCCATCCCTTTGGTTTTTATGCTTCTGTCTTCTAATATATAAGTTTCAAACCATGTAGATATTAAATACCTAGCTATTTAACAAATATAAGTTAAGATTCCCTTAATAACTTGGGTTCCTGACATTAGAGCAAAGAGAAGCATCAAGAAAGACTCCTGAAAACACAAGCTTTTTCCATTAAAATTACAGTAGAATGAAAATTACCATTTCATTTGTGACAGGAAGTCTTCTACGCAGAAGACAGGTTACTACTTCAACTATGGCATCGTGCAATTTAGGAAACCTCAGTAATTCCTAAAAACAAACAAACAAGATTTACTGATGAAACTTCCAGATTTTTTTTAGGGGGAGGGGAAGCCCAATAGTTACAAACATAACTCTAAAAAAATGCATTTTTACCTGTGTACTGTAATTACTACAATGCTGGATAATCCTCTGCATTTCTTCATGAACTAGCTCCACACAGCGCAAGCTAGGTTCTTCTAAACGTTTGATTTGTCTTTTTACCAGCAATTCAAATGAAACTTCAGGAACAAACAAGGCAGGACGGGGACCCTAGTTCAAAGGGAGGGAAAAAGCTGCTAAATTGTGTGTTAAAACAACATGCAATTCTAAGAAGTAGTACCTGATGAAGCGCAGAATAAACCAGGTCACAGTGCTTACACCCAAAAGAACACTCAGAACAGGTTTTAAGAGTAAAATACGTTACAAGAATATTTAAATTTAAAAGCTATAAAATACAAACTTATTACCTTTAAGACAAAGTTTGTGTTAAATAATGATTAACCAGCATCCTTACAGAATTTTGAAGATTTCTACCTACTAATGTCACTCTAGGCTTACAACTATGAACAATTCTTTCACATTTGTGGAAGCAAGTTTAAAGGAAATTTATTATAAAGGCAAAGACATTCTCTTCCTAACTTCAGACAGAAAAGTTACCATTATTTATTTGAAACTCCTGAGCATACAATTCTTACTGCAAGGCAGGTGGGTTTTCTGTTAAGTATAATCATAATACAGTGTCACTCATTTACAGTGTTTGGGATAATTTCAGTTATGACCATACAGAAAAATGCTTAGTTATACATAAAATATTTTCAACCTGAAATTTCCTTTTTTTTTTTTTTTTTAAATTAAATTACCTTTGGAAACACAAAAATGTGGTATGTCATATAAAAAAAGACATCTCTCCTGTTACTAAATGCTGTTTTACACTTTACATTTACAGAAGGATAAGAGCATGCACACAGATCATTGCTGCAGAGTACCTAATGTGCTCCACATTTCAGTAATTCTTGACTATGCAGAAACCTGACTGTCCACACTCAACACGGTACAAAAGCTGACTTAGAGCTTGACTTTGGGTGTCAAACACCTAAGTACTGAACATTTTATATACTGCAAAATTCAAAAGTGAACTTACTCTGTTAATTCTTAGCAACACCAATTCCCATATTCACAAGAAACCAAATCTGTCATGTAAACACTAAACCACTGAAGAGCTGCGTTCCTTATATAGAATTAAAATATCTGAATGTGTCCTAGCCCATTCATCTCAGAGTCAGTCTTCATAACTAACAGAAGTGCTTAATGAAAAATAAATGCAGAGGCAGTCTTCCATCATCATTTCTGTAACACAAAATAGCTTCAGCATAGGGTTGCCAAAGCTGGGCCTAGGCTTTATTTCAGCCTGTAAGTAACAGTAATGAGATGTAAGCATTCACCTTAAAACTCATTCCGTACAGGATAATGGCTGGATATTGTCATTTTTCCACTTAAAGTACCAAAAAACAGGATTCAGCCTCTTCATATTAACTCATTCAGCTGAGATCATTAATTCACAGTACTGCAGGAGTACAGATTTGTTGAAACCTCATCTTCGAATCCAATATATAGCAACAACACTTAGAAATATGGAAGAACACTCACAGTAGCATTTCTAATGGCAGTCAGAATATCAATTGTGTTAAGGCCACCCAGTGGGTCAACAGATTCTAAAGTTCTTCCAAAGGTCTCATGAAAAATGTAACAGATTCTGGCTCCACCGCATCTGAAAGAGTGGAGTAACAAATGAACAAAGTAACAAATGAAGTAGCATCAATAAAAAAAGCTCCCATTGCAAACATTTTTTACAGTTACTTGGATTCAAATATTTTTGATTATGTTACCCTCTAGTGTAGTACTATTGCCAATGAAAGCCAGCAAGAGCCACTGGGTTGATCTAACTGCTCAGTCAATATTCTAAAAAAACCTTTTGGTACTTACAGCTCTGAAGTCTCTATGTATTTTGCTGTTCCTTCAATAGTGTTACAATATTCTGTGGCAAATTTGGTAATAAGCTGCAATAAAGTGGCACTTTTGTCCTCAACAGGTTCCCCATAGCTGTTTAGCAGAGATTGGTACTGAGCAGCTAAAACATTGATTCTGGTTTTCAGTTCTGGCAAGCAATCTCTGATATGATGCATCAGTAATCTAAAAATAGAAGGGAAGAAAAGTTTCAGCTTTATCATCTCCATTAAAACAGAGAAGAGACAGAAAATAATCACCAAAGGAAAACATTTAGTCATGAAAATTACAGTAAATTCAGAAACTGAATTTGGAACCAAGCAGAGTTTTCCTTAATATATCACTGTACAGCACCAAGACAGAAAGGAAGAGTAAAAATAAAAGTTTACATATATTTCTAACACACCAATTTATATCTTAAAGTATCTTTAAAAGCACACATTTATTTTATTTTACATAATATGTAATACCTGTTCAGTGTTCTAGCAAGATACTTGGTTCCGTTTCGATTGGCTAGGGAAGGATACTTCTTTTGAAGAAAACCATACTCATCACGAATGGAATCAGCTACACTCTTCTTATTGTTAATATCCAACTGACTCCTGAAGTTAAAAGGCAGTTACACACTAGTTAGAAGTGTAAATTATTTTTCCTTTACATCTGTTCTGGACAAGACATCTAACAGCTGGTTTTTGCTTTGCACACATAACTTATCTTCCTTAGACAACAAAGGGTTTTATTTGTTGTTCCATGCAGCACAGTCAACAAATCAGTATGGGTAGCAGCTGTAGACAGACCAAGCAATGCCTCTATCAAAATGGCATGAGATTTGACCTAGCTAATGCAAAAAATAAAGAGAACAGTACTATAGCCATATGTAATTAGCACTAGATTAGCACTAATATATACATGATCTGTACTGGATCAGTGCTAATGTGAACAGCTGACCATCCCTCAAGCTAAGAAACAATAGCAGAAGTGACACTACAGTTCTTTTAGAAGAAGCAGCCCTACTCCTTTCTAAACTAGCAGTTGGTTGAGTGGAAGAACACACAGGCTTTTGAAAAGTGAGCAACAAGCTTCTTGCTTGCTTATTTAGAAGTTTATTTTGACGTGAAGTCACCTTATTCTTAAAATCATATTCATGGTTAAAAAAGCCAAAAGCATTGCTTCACATTGACAGAGTTTTAAAAATAGCATCCATGTATCCAGACAGACCTGTTCACTACTCCAATGATGCCAAGTTTGACTGGAATCACTCTTCCCATAAGTACATCCATAGCATCAGTGCCAGCATCCATGAGATCCAGCTTTGTGATAACAGCAAGGGTTCTTCGACCTACCAAAAGGAAAATTCACTCACAGGGATGTTTTTTTCTTGATCAGGGTAGCTAAAAGTCGTAACTCAAAATGTTCCTCAGACAGCTGCATGAAGTTTAATACTGCAAACCAGCAAAGACTAGCACAAGAACACATGGTGAGAGTCTACCAGGAGCCCCTTATTAACAAGAATATATCAAAGTATTTGGCAGGTACTGCTCCCCACACAGATCTGGTTAAAGTTTTAGGAACCATGCAGTTTGAAATTATAGTCATTCCTGATGTGATCAGTAATCACAACAAAGATTTTTGCATTCTACATGAGGTTAGAGGCATTACTAAGCACTTGTAGAGAAGTCTAAGTAAGGCAGGTAGGGGACTTGCAAGCGTGAGTGGACTGAACATATTTCTAAGCATATATGTAGGACCAGATGTAATGGCAATATGTTTGGAACTATATTCGAAATACCACTACCCGCTGGAGAAGCTAAAGGAAGCAACAGGCCCACTTCCAGCACAGAGCATCAAATACATAGCTGAAAGCCTCAAGGGACTGAATAGCTTGAAATCCATCCACTGAAGAAGCTTTAGGGGATTTAATTTTGCTAACGAAACAGATTTTTATTGAATACATGACTGAATGTTTTCCACATTACACCCAAACTTCATATTGGACACTGTGGAGGAAAAAGCAACCTAAATTCATTAAATAGGTAAAATATTGCACATCTGAACAGGTAGGCTAACACGCACAGGATTTGTCTGGGACCTTAGTATTTCCTGGGCTCTTGGGTCTGGAAAAAAAATGTGGCAAGAACTTTTTCTTTAAAATATAACACACCTTTCAAGTCTAAAAATAAACCAGTACCTCAGTGAAATCACTGGGTTCTTGGGTGCTGAAACTATCAGATGAAGTCAGAGAATCTACCTACTCTAGTACACCAAGTTCTCATTACACGCCATTATTCCTACAGAACCTGCAACATGAGCTGCCACTCCAGACCTTTAAGGTTTAGAATTTTGGGAAGTGATCCAAAAGTCACTGCTGATCATTTTTACAGGGGTAAATTAAAAGGAAAGGGTCTACCGCCCTGAACCAGGACAATTTGACTGAGAAGACTGCCAGAAGAGGTTCTCCCTCAAGGTTATGTGGCTGTGGAAGCCATAAAGGCTTAGGGAGACAGGCCAAAGCAGATTCAGAGTTTGAAAATAATCAAGAAATGTTACACTTTATGGGTAGAAAAATTTGAGGGTAAAGCACACCAACACTATATTTTAGCCTAATTTCAGTATACTTATTTTCCAAGTATACTCTTCCATATTCTTTCAAATCACACAGCGCCATTTATTAGTCAACGGTACTGACAGCACTTTCCATACACAAGCAGCAGGCACCCAGTAGCTTCAGATCTGTCTCAAAGTCAATAAGTAAATATAAAATGATAATCCTCTTTTTAGATTAATCAAATCAGTCAGTTCTGTCACACAAATGCAGGATACCAAAATGGATACTGCCAGTACATATTAATTTTATTCTTACTAAAAAGTCACTAAACTAATGGCTAGACAGTGAATTACTAGCTGCAGGATGACATATTTTCTCTACTAAAAGAAACATTAGACAACAAAGCATGACGTCATCCTAACAGACCACTGTACACTACTAAAAATCTCAAAACCCCCAACATTCTGTAATGCCATTTTGCTGCTCTGGAAACAGAAAATAGTTATCTGGCCTGTCTGAAAGCCAGAAAGCCATTAGATATTAATTCATCACAGCATTCTCTTGAGTTGCAGAGACTGTAGCAAGAAGTCTTTAAGCAAATATAATAATTGTATTTTCCAGGAAGTGCAGTGACATTTGGTTTTGTTACTACTTTTTGCCCAAACAACTTCAGTTTTATTTCAGGATTTAATTTAAAAAAGAAGTTAAATTACAGGACCCAGTTTTTCTTGCTGCTTACCATCTGGATCCACCTCCCGTGCAATTTTAAGTGCTTCTGAAGTGGCCATGTCTGTGTTAGCAGCTGTGACTGCCAGAATAATTGAATTTGGGTTGCTGATGAATTGAAGGATTAGCTCTCTTATTTGAAGTTCTATGTCCTTAGGCTGATCACCAACAGGCACCTAGAGAAAAAACAATGTAGAGTTGTTGAATGTTGCGTATTTATGCCTACGTGAGACCACTCATTTGAAGTTCATATCCTATACCACAGTATAAGATAGTTTTCCCGCACTTTCCTTCCCCCTTCACAAACAAACAGGAAAGAAAAGGAAGACCTTGAAAGGTATAGAAGTCAAAAACACTCTAGAAATTACAATCAATTCAAATTATTCGACACTGTTGTCAAGAAGACTTAGTATCCAAGAATCACGTGTACAACTGGCAGAGCGGGGTGTGCATGGGCAGAGAAAGAAGTTACATTGTCATCTTGGTGCCACAGAAAATTACTCAGTATAAAACCAGAAGAAACAGGACCTGAATATTTCTTCTACGGTATCCTCACTTTATACAACTTCTTATGAAAAATATGTATAGCAACTCCTGGAGAAGCAACGGCGAAAACATTTTCAAACTTGCCAACTGTCCATCTATCTGCAGGTACAGCTTAGAAACTTCAAGTGCTACGCTACCTTTTTTATTAAAAAGAACATGCAGCCCGCACAATGCTTCCAATCTCTCAGTTGTACATAGAAAGAGGAAGAACTCGAGCAAATCTACCTCCTGCAGCAGTGCAGAGCAACAGAAACCCAAACATTACGCCAGGAAGATGGTGACATCTCAAATTTATATAACCAACTACTTAACCTGAGAAAACCTGCGTATCTAACAATGCAGAATAATGCCAAAAAGTGAACACACACACTCCGTGTTTCAAAACACACTACTCACAGCGAGTCAGAAAAGAAGCATTCTGTATCTTACCTTTGTCATTCCTGGTAAATCCACAAGAGTCAGATTTACAACATTAGATGAAAAAATCTTAAGATGAATAGGCTCAGGACTGATTCCCTAGAATACATTAATAATAAAAATTAATTACTGTATTGGATTATTTAAATGTACCCTTTAGAAAGCCAAAAGCTGTAATTTCATACTACGGAAACTTTTTTCCATCATACACCTTACACCTACTTGGTGAGGACAAAAAGCCAGCCACATCTGTCAACCAATTCTTTTGTCTTTGGAAGCAGCCCTGTTTTCCCCCTCAATATACTACATAAAAGCTTTTATATCTCCGTAAATATATAGATATGGAAGAACAGAATACTCAATTGTATAATTACCCATAAAGTCATGTATGTGGAAAAATGGAAGCAAGTTTAACTCAAAGTTTATTTTTTGCACTGCTTTGAAGCTTTGAAGTAAAACAGCGGCAATTCTCTGCATTTTTTTTTAGCTGAAGTCACTTATCTCACAAACACAGTGAAAAATCTCATTACAATAGTTCAATGCTTTTCACTTCTACCTGCCAAAACTGTTTAAGAAAGGTTTAAGCAGCAAGAGTATCTATAGCAAGACAAAGATGGACAGTGAAACATTTACCTTATTATTTCCCGAAATCCTCTCTGTTTCATTTTCTATTTCCTGACGAATTTCATCAAAATCTGTATAGATCTGAAGTACAGAAGAAAAAAATTATTTAAAGAAATCAAAACCAGCAGACACTTACCTAATTGCAAAATAATACTCTTCTCCAAGAGACAGGGAAAAACTCTGTATCTAAGTATACAGAAAGTGAGAAAAAACAAGAATGACTATTAGCCCTTAAGCTTATGCCAACAGCAATCATCAGTGCTAAAAATTCAAGAAATTGGAATCTTGGCACTTTATCTGTTGATTAATACTCTGAGATAGCAGTTATTAGCCTTTATTTACCCCATTGATATCAGAAAAGGTGTAAAATTGTGTTCACTTAAAGAGAATTTCAAACACTTAATTACATTTCTAATCTAGCTGCAATCCTTTGAAGTTAAGAAAAAACATGTAGCCTGAGCCCCTTCTCATCTCAGAGAGGACAATGAACAAGGACAGAGTTTAATTTCAAAATCTTTCCACTCTTGTCACATCTATCCTCCTTCCACCAGTCCAAAATAAGTTAGTACACAGCTACCCTTGCACAGGTTCCCTCTACATTCCTCTCTAGATTTCCTTCAATTTCTAGCACTGCCTAGAAGGTAAGTAAATCAGTTTGAGGTAATAAACACTTAAATAATTCATCTGCCAACAAAAAGATTACTTTCTTCAAGCAAAGAATTAGATTTTGACTCTCTTATTAAAGTCCTAGGTCATCTCAGTTTCTGCTTCTCCCCCTCCAATGAGCACTGGCCTCTTCCTTTCTTTTCACGGCTTTCTAATAAATCTCTGCAGTAGCCAATTCTTCAGTGAACTGAAACGATTTGTGATTATATACTTCTTTGTCTTTGCAACTTCCTTTCTAATTTCACCAAAAAAGAAAAATCAACAAAATAACACAAAAAGAATTAAGATAAATCACTCAGCAGAATCAATGACCCACACAACAGTCAACTTACTGGTAAACTTTGTCTTGAATTTAAAAGAATGTTTTCAGAAGCTTTCTACTCATATAAAGCAAAACAGAAAATCCTCAGTACAGTGGCATATAATATAGCAGATAGAACAATCTCCTTTTTGGGAAAGTCAAGGAATAAGATATAGTATTAAATATATATGTGATAGAATGTTTATAAGCTCCATCATCAGAGTAAGCATACCTTATTTTTGGTGTGAAGAAATTTACCCCACTCTTCAGCATCTATCTCTGAAAACAAAGAATTGATACATGAGGAAGAGGAAGCAGATGATTCAATGACATTTTCCCGAAAGCCTGTTTGTTGAAAACTACAATGCGATTTTTTTTTTCAAGTAGCAAGAGAAAAATTAGTCTGCTTTTTACTGTTAGATCTTTAATAGCTCAATATAAATACATTTATGATTCTGCTTATAATTTTGCTTATGTAAACATTGCATCTCGTTACTCTTTTTAATCTTTCTTACACAAGGTCCACCTTCTTAACTGTAACTGAGCCAATCAGCTATCCTACCATTTTTTTTTCAGAAATGGCCTAGTCCATTAAATATCAGCTTGCAACAGAAAACAAAATAATTATTAGCAACAGCTTAAAAAACCTGAAAAAAATACCAGCTTTCAGCATCTTTCCTTTTACCATGCAAGCAAGATCAAATTACAGCTGAAAGAAAAAGTTAGAAAAACCTGTAGAACCAAAACCAAGCAAACAGAAAATACATAAGAATTCTGCGTAACAATGGAGTCTTAGGAAAATGTGTCTCTTCCCAAATCTGTCAAGGACCAAACATCTTAACTCTTGTGAGTCACCACTAATGTCCAGAATTATTTGGGGGCTGTTCAAGAGCAGTCCCAAAAACAGCAAAGGAGGTTTTGTCAATTCCTGCTTCATAGCACAGACAGCAGTTTGAGGCACACTGTGAGATACTCACACTTCCACAACTAGGTTTCCAAGTATTAGTCTTAAGGTCCATTTCAAATTTTTAGTTTCTGGTCATTTCCCCTCCGCTCCCTGATACAGCAGTCTGTTCTAGAAGAACAGTCTACAAGAAATCTGACCATTTGGCAAACACACTGCTTACCTACAATCAAGTCATATTTCAGAACATTTTTTCTACTCAAGTTGAATTTCAAGGTACTGATCAATAGAGGATTTTTAAAGGATTTGGGAATTAAAAGTGCAGGAAATTCTATGAAGCAGTAACGGCACAGAAGAAAAGCAAAAATCATCTCATTTTAATACAACAAGGTCAGAAAACTAAAAATCAACCAGATCACAAGACTCAGCAAAATAACCAATCAACACTGTAGCCAAAGTGTAAAAGTAAAAGTGTAATCAACAATAAAGTGGCATGAAATGTATGTGATTTTGTGTATATAAGCATGCACTTTATGCGTAGGGAGAAAAAGCAAGTGGATAAAGGCAACCTTTAGAAAGGTGTCTTGGATTTTTCCATGTAGCAGGGTCTGCAGTTAAAGAGAAACAGCATTGAATGATGTTTAAAATTTTTAATCATATTTAATACAGCATTTTATTAACTTTCAGTATGAGACAGCATTACAAAGATCACAAATACATGCAGACAGATGTGCATGCTATTCTACTATTGATGAGAATGTGTAACATATTAACAATATGCACAGAAATAAGACCTTAACTAAACACTGATAAATGATGCATATTAATCAGATATTCTATATGACAAAGTTTACTTAATGATGACTATTATTGCTGTTCATCTGATTTCAACAGCTCACAATATTTTTATCTAAGCACAGAAAGCAGCACCATCAGGTTCCGCAAAGTTGAACTGCTTTGGCGAAATATGTTTCTCATCATTTACTCATGGCAAGATTGAAAGAGTAAGGAAACATTTTTAATGTCACTGAAAGTAATGTTACTGTATGGGAAAGAAATTAGAGGTTGTGCATCAATCTTTCTAATGCTCAATTAAAAAAAAATGGCAGTTCTGAGACAGATTTAAGAAGAAACAACATTGGCCATCACCCTTCTCAACTTTTAATTTTCTCAAAATATTCATGGAAATCCCATTACTAAAAAAAAAAAACCCAAAAAAAACCCCCAAAAAAACCCAAAACACTTTTTATTGAAGGGCTGATAAGTTTACAGCTCTATATTTTTATGTAATGCCAGTACAGCACCATGGAAGTGCAAGTATCAAACCAAACTGGTGAAAACATTTTTGGCATGTGCCTGTTTGGCACTGAATGCAAGTAGCACAGCAACAATCAATTCACCAGTTTGAAAAGCCTAGGACATCTGGGAAGTTATTTTTATGTCTTGTTCGGTGGGTAAGTCAAAGGTCTATCATCACTGGAAACATGCTGATTTAGATGGACTTGATCCATTAAGGAAAAAAATTTAAGAACCAAACTACTTTTACTGTTCTGCAGACACATGAGCTATGAAGAACCCATTGTTAGGAAGCAGCTTTTATTTGTCTTGGTTGGTAAATAGGTGAAATTACATACTAGTCTCCAAAATAAGTGCAAAATGAAAGGACTTATTAATTCCAGGTTATTAAACAGGTTTAGTTTATTTACAGTTCAGAGGAAATAAAGCAAAATACACAGACAGGAAGAAACTACAGTATCTTCAAGACTGTATTGTTCATTCTCTCTTAAAAATTGAATTAAGAAATTAAAGACAAGCAGAAAGCCAGGAAGAAAAAGATACAGCAAGATCCTACCACCATTAATTATATTTCAAAGATATGGACCAAGCTCTCTTCTGTTATGTGCCCACTGGGGAGATAACGTCCTCCTAGGACACATTGTTTTAGTCTTAAATTACTGGTTTTGTGGTGGCATAGAAATTTGCAGCTAGGTACTAGGCTTAGTTCTATGTATAAATAAATACTTTGTTTTAGTATAATTATTAACTTTTTAAAATACATATTAAAAGATATGCATTCTAGTCAGAGGCATTGCATTTTAACTTGTTAATATCTAAGGATTAAACGAGACTGAAAAATTTTTTAAGCTTTAACAAGCTACAAGTTTTCTTTGCTATATATAACCCAAGAGAAGATTGAAGCCATGATAAATTGCTTAGTCTTAACCTCAGCCTTGGTGCACATAAAAAAAAAAAAAAAGAGTTAAGGAATAAATGCAGTCTTCTGAGGTGCACAGAAAATCTCATCTGGTCCAGGAATAAGCTTTTATAAGTTTCATCTCATTTTATACAGCAGGGAAACTCTTGTGCCACTCTTTCTGAGGAAGTCTGTACTGACACCTTTTTAATATTTGAGAAAAAAATTCCCAATAGCTCTAATCTAATGCAAAGTAACTTTTAGGAAAGGAGGAGCAATTTGCATTACTAAAAATGCAAGGATGCTCAAGGCAAAGAAAAAATATTTTCATTAGCCTACATTCAACAACCCAGTGTTCTGGTTTACACGTAGAACATTTTTTTTCTATCCCTAGTTTTACTGGTAAATCAGTTTTCCCCTGTTTATGTTACCTTCTGGAAGCTTTTCAGGCAAAACTTTCAGGTAAATTAATCACCTGATTACATTCAAGATTCAATGCTAGATAAAAGCATACAGAAATGACATTTTGGTCATTATAAAATTACTAAGTATTACAGATTATAAAACTTTATTAAAACAGCAGCTATTAAGAACAGATAGATCCTGCCTTTCAAAATACATCTCCTGAATAAACCAACAGACTGTTTGCTTTTCTGGCTTTTCATACGTTGCAGTGAGACCTGAAAACTTTAATTAATGTACTGGAAAACTAGACATGACGACTGTATTTTTCTCAGGACTGCCCTCCACCAAGTTGTTACTTGTTATCTCCTATACTGCAATGTTCCTTTAAGAAACCCAAATACAGTGCAATGCTAACTGACTTCCATTATTCATGTATCTTTTCTTCCTTCCTAAAGCGGTAGAAATGTTCTTCATACACAACGGGAGCACAAAGAAGTTGTTAAGAGTCATAAAAGGCTACCACCGTAGAGGATTTCTTGCAGCATGGCAACAAGAATTTCCCATATAGATAAAGGACAAAAATCAGCAAAGCATGAAGAATCTTACCTGTTTTCCTAACTTTCTAGTTCCCAGACTACTATCTGAACTCTTTTCCCATCACCTTATCCTTTCCTAGCTCTCTTTTTCTAAATAAAAAAATCCACCTTGTGAAAAAGACGTGCACATCTTCCATCCCTTCTATATCTTATGCCATTTTTTCCATCCTTTACGCTAACTAGATGGCAAGCTATTTCACGTGAAAGCTCTTTCTCTTGTGCTTCTACAAAGCTAAGTACAATGAAGCAGTGCACACCGGGAGCTAGGGGTAAGGGATTCCTGTTTGAAGTAGAGAGCAAAAAGCTGACAAAACAGTGTTGAAGCAACAGATCTGTATTAATTATTCCTGTGTTCTGTATCAATTCCATCTGTTCAGAATTTGATCAATGTTCAGCTTCCTATCTTGAACAAAAAAAAAAGAACCTATAAACATTTACTAATTGACCATTCATATGTTCCCTCCTCTTTTCCATTTCCTAACAAATGGCTAAGCTACCAGAATAGGTCTTTTCTACAAAACCAATTTCATAATTTACACGACGAGGCCCAGTTGTCTCATAAATGCTGCTGCTCTTGCAATCTGATAAGAGAACACTACAGTGCAGTATCACCACATCAAACACACCGTATGTGCTGAATCACTAGAGGCTAACAATAAACAGCAAAAGAATAACGAGAACATTTCCTTCACACCAAACCACACACATTTCTGTAGAATATATGTATCAGTGTGAAATGTTATGAAAACACAGCACTTCATATTTAATGGAAAATTCATATCTATTCTACTTTCTGACTCTTGATTTATTGCAGTGAGCACAGTACAGGGGTATCACATGGCTCATCAGTGACTTTTAAGGAACAGCAGAGATGATCTTTAATGTTAGAAAATCAGAAGTTATTTCAAATGTCTGGATGCAATTCTTTCTCAACAGTCTTTCCCAAGAAATCCAAGAATCAAATAATAATAAAAATAAAATAAAAAACCCCAAACCAGTCAAACAAAAACCCTAAATTGATATGAACTGATATTCCTTGGCAGCTCACATACATCAGAAGATGTCAAAATTAAGGTATGGGAGAGAGACAATTTTTTCCTTCATAGCCATAAAGACAAGGCAGTTGTCCGTACTTAAACGAATACCACAGCAATATAAAATGCTTTGTGTTAAAAACAGGGAAGCTTTTTAGATGCAAACACTCAGACAGAGGTAAAATTTAAGCTTATAAGAACCACAGACTAGTACTATTTTTTAAATGGATGTATTTATATGTAATACTAATGCATATCTAGAGCAAGCATAGTACGGATAAAGGTGACAATTCACAAAACAGAAATCAAAACAAAGAGGCAGTTAGATAAAAGTATCTGTGCACACAGAGTTTATTACCAGCGCATTCAGAAAGCAGCATGCCGAGGCTGATATTCTCTTGTCCAATATTCAATTTGTAAAGAAGAAATCCCTCATCTGGAGAAAATCTTTTTCTGCTAGACTACGGATAGATTTTCCTCTGGGAAATCCCACACACATATTCAACCCTACCTCAACAGCCACCTCATAACAAACAAAAATATGACCTGTAATAGTATAGGGAATTATTATAATGTCAGACAGTGTAGCCAGGATAAGGGGTTGCCATCTTTTTTTCTTTCCAAGCTACTTGATTCCATCTTCTCAGATGTAACACCACAATCTCTATGTATGCTAAACCAGAGCAGTGACAAGTCTATTTAGACCATGATTTGCCTGAATTTTGGAGGGAGAAGACAGGCATTTTGAATGCAACTGGTAAGCCATAAAGGTTTGTCTGTTCTGACCAAACAAGTCCATGTCTCTCTCAAAAGAACATCTAGAAGAGAATATAGCATCTACATCTTCCACACTGATTTTTTTCCCCCAAGTATCTAAATGGGCCTTAAAAATATTAATTTAGCCCAACATCCTTATGCAATATCATTATCCCATTTTACATTTAAAACGTGAATCCCCAGATCAAATGCAACAGAAAGGATCTGCCTTGACTCAGAATACCCTAATTATAAAACCATCTATTATACCTGTAAAGTTGCAGAGCAGAACAAAATCATATTTTATTCTACAACTCAGAATCATAACATTCTGAAAAGTACCAGAAACTATGCACTGCACAATGCAAGTAACAAACCCCTCCCACACACATTTAAAGAGATCCAATGTGCCATTTCTAAGAGGTTGCCCAGAAACTCTCTGAATTCTCCATCCTTGGAGGTTTTCAAGACCCAACTGGACAAAGCCCTGAGCAACCTGGTCTTGAGTTCTGAGTTGGCCTTTTTTAAGGAGGAGGTTGGACTAGAGACCTCCTGACATCATTTCCAGTCTGAATTGTTCTACAATCTCTCACAATCCAGCACACCCTGGATTGCACACTAGAAGTTCTTAATTGTTAGGAACCAAATTGTGTTCTCTGCCTGCATCAAAAATCTAAGATTTATCTTATGATCAGAAGGTAGATATGCCTCTGCTGCTCCTTCATAAGAGCACTAGTTAATATAGAATGAACATTTAAACTCCCAAGGGACAACTGAGACTTCTATATTATCTTTCAGCTGATCAAGAAAGTAACACTACAGAAGACACAAACTTGAAACTAGACAGCTTCAGAACATTTAAAGTGTTATTCTTGATGCGCTTGGAATCTCTCAGTGCAGCCCAGTAAGGTAGCAGCTGTAAGCCACAGAACATGCCCATTAAATTGTTTGCATCTACTACAAGTTTGTTTTCATTTCTCCTTCTTCTGCTCTATCCAGAACTTACCTATTTCCTAACCTCCTTCTAAAAAGTCACATATTAATCCTCTCAAGGGAAAACCTTATTTGTACAGCAAAAGACGAAGGAAAGAAAAACACACACAAGAAAATCATGTTCTCTACACTCTAGACAATCATTATTATAACTGAAATGCTTTCTTTGGCCTGCTTTTCTCAGCAGAAACAGAGAACAAACAGGGAGACTTAAAACATTAAAGATATTTTGAATATTCAAAAGATTTTGACTTCATGACATTTGCTAAATGGACAGAACAAATGGGACAACAGCTGTACTTTCTTCCAAGTAAATTTTAAAAAGCACACTCGAGTTTTAAGATTACAACAACTGATTTTTCAGTCAAATGAACAAGAAAGATTAAAAGTCTCTTTCCTACTAGGCAAAACACACCCTTGGATCACACTTACCATTTTCATCTCCAGCTGTTTTCCGACCATCCTCTGGGGAAACATGCACCAGCTGCAGAATAAGGGGTCTCCGGGTGACAACTCCAGTACCTCGTGGGAGCAGATCCCTCCCCACAAGACTTTCCAACACAGAACTCTTTCCACTGCTCTGAAAATTGGAATACAACTACATGATTTTCTTAAACATAAAAATTATGTAATATTTTAGTTTTAACTTGCTTTCATCACTCTTGCAAATAGTGCTGTATTCTGTCCTCAGTTATACAGTGCCCAAAGGAGCACACGATAGATTCACTGCGTCTACTACAGTGGTATCACACTGCATAGACACTAAAAGATGCAAGTCTGCTATAAACCAGTAATTGTCTAAATCTGCTTGGGATACTTAAAAGCCATGTAGATAGATGTATTTTCTATCTCTTAGGACTAAGTTAAACATGTAATAGGTTTCAGAAAAATTAACATTTTCTACCCCAAATATTAATCTCTCCAGAAACATTTTTAGAAAAGAAAAAATATTTTTCTTTATAATGCTCAGCAAGATATTCTGTGTCTTCTACTATGTTATTTTCTAACACCTTGCAGCAACACTTCGCTCTGTAGACTAAGGAATTTAACCTTCTGTTAGTATTAACATGGGCTGGCCATGTGAATACGAAAATATATTAACTATGTACACTTGAGTACATTAAGATATTATAATCTCATATCCCTTTCAGTTTGCTTTTTTCTTTGTATAATGTATTATTAGCTTCCTGAGTGCAGACATTGTCTCATACTCTAAATACACAAACAAACATTGTTTTATATTGTCTCTCCCACTCTGTGTGTGTATATATACATTTATAAGTATTTACAGCTGAATTGACTGCAAACATCCGTCTACATAATAACGGCCTGTAATAAGTTGTGAAATACTTGAAGGCTGTGAAATTACAAATTCACTTTGAGAGTTTATGCGTAAAACGTTCTCCTGTAGCACTTTTGTATAAGATGCAGAATTGGGCTACATGGCCCAATAAGCAGCTGTGAACACATGGGTTTTAAGAAAAGCGATTCAAGACTATTATCATGTTAAAACTAACAATAAACAACAGATCCAGATAGGTCAACATAATAATTTGAAAGTGTGCCTGATAAGATTTTGTCTTTTTAACAGTTTTCTGCAGCTGGAAAGCCAACACAAGCATGAGAAAACCTGCTCTGACAATCACTGCCATCAGCTAGGATATGTTTCTATGTTCACGCTACTACCAAATAATTCTCTTAAAAAAAAAAAACAACAACACCCAAACAACCACAAAACAAAAAAAGGAGATGCTTCTGACAGCTAGGATGTGCATTACTGCTACACAACCTCAATTCAGCTCACCAGTTCTGAAAGAACAGATTTGAGACTTCAAGTAAATCATAAAATGAGTACATAACCTAGCATAACGTGAAATAAAAGCAGTGTTGAATACCTTTTAAATACCATATATTTAGTGACATCTTAGGTGACTTTTCTAAAAATGCAAAATAGATCAGCAGAGATCTAGCAACACAGCACTATCAGACAGCACATTTCTGCTAGTGCAGTAAGACAAGACAGGAACATATTACATGAGAGCATTAGAACCTATTAAAATAGGACTTGTATGCAGAAGCACAAAATAAATATTAAAATACAAGGCCAAACCCCTACAAAGTCTGAACAACGACAACAAATTAAAACTTTCTTTTCTTCTAACACTTTACTGTATAACTATGCTTTATGGCACAGAAAAGTGCTGGTTTATAAATAATGTTATTTGCCTCAATAGGTGAATAACAAACCTTGTATATCATGTATACTTTTCAAAGTAAATCTGCATCAAATTTGACAGCAGTCAGGTCAACTGTCTAGAAAGAGTAGGGAGAAGGACAGGGTCACAGGAAAGAGAAACAGTCTTATTAAGATTTTTTGCTTAAAAGATGCCCCTAGAAAGTAATTAATAATTTTCTTCAACTGACCTTCTCCAATCAACTTTGGGCACCTTCCATGCAAGGAGCTTATGACAGGACATTGGCATTGAAATCTTATCAAAGACTAACTGAAGAACAATCTGGCCAAAGCATGAACTAGTTCTGGAAGCCTCCCTGACAGTAGCACACTTCTGAAGAATTAATGATATTACAGAATGGGAAAAAACATACATTTCAGAATGACAAACAACAAACCACTTCTTAACAAACTTCGTAATTTAAAACAAATGAAATCTCTGCTCAAAAAGAGGAGACGTGATAAAGGTTCATAAGCTGCATTGGAAAAAAAAAAAACCCACCCCAAAACCACCAGGCTTTCATTTATTAAAAATATTTTTAACATCTCTTGAGCAAGACTTCTTACACATGGGTAGAATGATCACTCAGTCTCAAAGGGCTGGAGGTGAGACTTAGATGAAGTGGCTTCTCCTGAACATAGAATTCAAGTAGAGAAGGGATAGTAAGAGATAGCTGAAGTCCCTACCAAGAATCTCATCAAGACAGGAAGTCCATGAGATAAGTTGCTGCATGCTACTATTCATTGTTTGA